GGGTTCATTAAATCTTTAGTAATGAGATCTTTTCTAATTTTAAGCTCATCACACTATGAACAAGTGTCTGTACGAAGATATCCAAAAGCAATGTTAAAATCTTTGTTAAATATTGTCCTGTATGTCTTGTAAGAAATCTTGCAATCTGGATAGATTATTTGAAACATGTTAAACATTTCGTTAATGTTTAAATCCTCAGATAAATATAGGCGTCTTGTTTTATCTTGCGAGTAGTGAGACTGCCTACCCCTAAAAGATGAAATGTGATCTCTTATCTTCTGAACCATTTCATTTGTCAGCTTATGAGGTCTATTTGTATGTTGACCTCTTATGTCCTTTGGTGGCTCACCTAAAGATGAAAAGATAAAAAACAATAAGAAAATATGTTAAATAATTTCTGTTCATCAAAGACTAAATTAAAGATTATAATCTTAAAATAACATGCTTGATAAATAATTGAGAAACTGTTTCAATTTATTTACTATTTCATATAGATTAGTCTCTTTTATTTAAATCTACACTAAAAGCTAAGTCTTAGGGAAATAATATTATTTTCAATACGATTATAATAGAAACTAGTCCCTTTTATTTAAGCTAAAATCAAAGCCAAGGCTTTTTTAATAATTTTTATAATTTTAAAATTAATCAAGATTTTAAGCATTAAATAGGCCTATAGTTTTTTAGTAGAGTAGGCCTATGGCCTATAGTAGAGCACTAGACTAGTCTAATCGAAAGTAGAAGCCTAATAATGTTCGCACAATATGAAACATAGCATAATGTAAGGATAGCTTATATTAACAAATTATATGTAAAAACACTAGATCTTATTTTAAATAGTATAGTCTAAATAGTCAACCCTGCCTTTCTTGATGCCGAAGATGGAAAGAAAAGCTTTAAAGCACACCTGGGTAAACTCATCACCAATATTCTTAAATACTTTGTACTTGTAGCTGTTATCATTCAAGTTTTTTACGATGTTATCTTTCCGTGATCTCCTTCTTGTGACATTACAGACTGTAATAAGGCCAGCCAGAAAAGAGTCTTGGTATTCTTTGCTCGATAATGCATTGAGAGAGTCCAATAAACAAGCTCTTTCTTGTACTGTTACAACTTCAAAACATTTATATTGTGTACATTTACATTCAGGTCTTGTTGTATGAGATAAAAGTTTTTTTTTATTAGTATTTTGTTTACTCTCTCTGTAATTTTCCTTTTCTTGGGCCTATTTGTTAATTCGCAGTGCTCTTTGCAATCCGCCATATTTAAAATGCTTTTTACACAAGGTCGACCCCTCATTGGACGATGTGATTATGTGACTAAAAATATCACATGACATTAGTGACACTGCCGTTTTTTCTCCTGTAAACATTGGACCATGCTGCTTTTTCTATTGTATAGGGTTGTTTTTTTTTTAATTATCATATGGACATTTCCACTTTTTTCCTAGTTAGCAAATGGTTAGCCAATTGTCAGATAAAACCTGATTTAAATGATGCAGTTTAACAATGGTGAAGCCTGGATTAAAAAAAGTTGAGGTTTATTTGATGTCACCATGGAAGCTTTTGATGCTGCAGAAGTTTGTGAGCTATCTTGTTTCAATTTTTGCAGTCTTACAACAAAGATGAATTTGGATTGTATAGAGATGATGGTCTAGCAGTATTTAAGAACCGGAGTGGCTAACAAATGGAAAAAATCAAAAAGTGCTTTGTGAAAATTTTAAAAATCAATGATCTTCTCATATCCATCAGCTGTAATTTTAAAGTTGTTAATTATCTGGAATTAATATTAAATCTTAATGACAGTTCTTTCCAAACTTACTGGAAGCCTGGTAATTCCATCAGTTATATAAATGCTGACTCTAACCACCCTCCTAGCATACTAAAAAGTCTTCCTCAAACTATCCAAATAAGATTGTCAAGCAGTTCTTCTAACGAAAATACTTTTAAATAATTCATTCCTCTTTATCAAGATGCATCAATTAAATCAGATTTTATCTGCAAATTCGCTTACTATTTAAATAAAAAACTGCCCTTGTTCAAATATCACAAGCAAAACATAATATTGTACAACCTACTTTTCAGTACCAATATTGCAACAAAAATAGGCAGTTGTTTTTTGAACATGGTAGACCTGCACTTTAAGGTTGGTCACAAACTTTGCAAGATATTTAATCAAAATACTATTAAAATAAATTACTCATGTATGCCAAACATCAAGTCAATCATTAATTTGCACAATCACAGGGTATTATATAACTAAGGTAATGATGAGGGAAAAATATGCAACTGTGTTAACAATTCCATCTGCCTCATAAACAATCAGTGCATGACAAAGAACATTGTTTATCAAGCCACCGTGTCGTCAAATAAACCTGACTACAAAAAAAAAGCATATTTTGGCTTATGTGAAACTCCATTTAAATCTTGGTATGCAAATCACCTAAAACCTTTTAGCATTAATAAATATAAAAATGATACTGAGTTTTCTAAAGAAATTTGGGACATATAAGACAAAATGTTTACACCCTCAATTAAGTGAAAAATTGTGAAATATTGCAATCCTTACAACTCTTCATCAAAAATTTGCATTTACAAAAAATTCCTTATTTTAACATATAAAAGTGAATACTTGTTAAATAAACTAAATGAGTTGATTTCAAAATGAAGACACAAGAATAAATTCCTCTTATCTTTTTTTGACACTTTATTTAATATTTTGTTTTTCTATGGTTGCCATCAAGTATGTCTTCTAGTGACATAAAGATCCCACTACACAGTATTTTTTAAATTTTAGCTGTTTTTTTTTTTTTTTTTTTTTGATTATGTATTTATTGGCTGATGCGTATAGGCATGAAACTTAAATTACCATTAAAAAAGTTGTTTTTTCTTTGTTAATATATATATATATATATATATATATATATATATATATATATATATGTATATATATATATATATATATATATATATATATATATATATATATATATATATATATATATATATATATATATATATATATGTATATATATATATATATATATATATATATATATATATATATATATATATATATTTGAAATATCTTTTAAATATTGAGCACTGAGCACTCTTTTATGGTTATGAGTTTTGTTTTATTATTATAATAAAAAAAAGCCTTAAATATCAATATATATATATATATATATATATATATATATATATATATATATATATATATATATATATATAGTTAAATATATATTAATATATATAACTATTATAATAGTAATATATATTACTATTCATCTTTATTTATTTTATGTGTGTATAACATAACATTGGTAAAGATGAATAATAATATGACAACATTTTTTAATAATATTAAATTGAAACCAATCAATTATGTTTGCAAAAATCCGTATTAAAAGTATGAGTCTCCATAACCAAAAATATAATAAACATATACTAATAAACAGTGTTAATATAAAAGTTGTTTGAGCACTCTTGTTGCTTATAAAAATATCTTGAAGATATAACACAGTTTGCAAAATGTTCTGCCATTTTACAAATATTTCTATAAAGTCATTTAGTACGTAATTAAAGTAATAATAACAAGTAAAACATCTTTCATAGACAAAATTATTTATATATATATATATATATATATATATATATATATATATATATATTTATATATATATATATATATATATTTATTTATTTATTTTTATATATATATATATATATATATATATATATATATATATATATATATATATATATATATATATATATATATATATATATATATGTATATATATATATATATATATATATATATATATATATATATATATATATATATATATATATATATATATATATATATATATATATATATATATATATATATATATATATATATATATATTTGAAATATCTTTTAAATATTGAGCACTGAGCACTCTTTTATGGTTATGAGTTTTGTTTTATTATTATAATAAAAAAAAGCCTTAAATATCAATATATATATATATATATATATATATATATATATATATATATATATATATATATATATATATATATATATATATATATATATATATATAGTTAAATATATATTAATATATATAACTATTATAATAGTAATATATATTACTATTCATCTTTATTTATTTTATGTGTGTATAACATAACATTGGTAAAGATGAATAATAATATGACAACATTTTTTAATAATATTAAATTGAAACCAATCAATTATGTTTGCAAAAATCCGTATTAAAAGTATGAGTCTCCATAACCAAAAATATAATAAACATATACTAATAAACAGTGTTAATATAAAAGTTGTTTGAGCACTCTTGTTGCTTATAAAAATATCTTGAAGATATAACACAGTTTGCAAAATGTTCTGCCATTTTACAAATATTTCTATAAAGTCATTTAGTACGTAATTAAAGTAATAATAACAAGTAAAACATCTTTCATAGACAAAATTATTTTTATGAACGTAACGATTAAGACATTATTTACTAATATAATGGTAAACATAATGCTTTTCATTAACTGTTATATAACAGTTACGTTAGGGTTATATTTTTTACATTGTACTGTTTAAATAAATAACTTAAGACAAACAACATAATACTTGTATTAAACATACTGTTAAAACAGTCAACTTAATTCTCTTATTGGACTTACTGTTAAAACAAACATTTAAAACAAACATCTTAAAAAAAGCAGTTTAAACTTTGTGTAAAATTATGTAGCAACTATGCTGTAAAAGATACAACATAAAAAAAAATTTCTTTTTCTTTTTCCTTAACATTATTCTTATTCTATAAATAATGTAAGTTAAGAACATAAACTTTTAACTTTTTATCTTGTCTTTTCACTTAGCAGTACTCATTTTAGTATATCAAATATTGCATTTTTACAAAAACATTATTTTTGATGTCAAATTATATTTCACAAATAAATTTTTATTAAAAGTTTACATATATATTTAAACAGGCCTCCCGAGGTTCAAAGTTCATTATCCAAGCATGCAATTAAGACAAAGTTGCAGTCAAAAATTTACAAATACACACCAGGTAAATACACATAAAAAACTATTTTAACACATAATTTATTTTCTGTTTTACTTTTTCTAAGTTTTGGTATTTGCTAACTGACATTTTATTTTTGTTCTCTGTATAGAATTTCAATACTCTATTCGAATGATATCATCAGGCTTTGTTTCAATATTAGTCATTTACATAGTATGAATATTTTTATTTAGTAAAAATTGAGTAAAAATAAATAATGCAGTTTTAGAATGCTGAATTTTCATCAATAGATCATTGTTCGGATTTTCATACTGTACAAGGTGCTTATTGGACATGACGGTGTTCCAGGTCTAATTATTGCTATTAGCAATTATATCATTATAAAAGGTTGGCTCAGAAGTGAGCAAATGAACCAATACATTACTTGTTTTAAAGGTAAAAATTTAATTTAAATTTTTTTTGTTTTATTTAAAAATAAACTTTGGTTGTATTAAAGTTATTAGTAAAAATTTAACAGTTTTACTATCACTTTACAAACAATGAAGATTTAAAATAAAAAAAGTGTTTTAATTTTCTTGATTTCTTAAATTAATCCAATTTGATTTACAAATTAAAAATGATTTTTACATGTTATATAAAATAATACTATGTTATATACATTTTTGCTATGTTATATGCATCAAAATTATAGCTATTTTATTATAATTTATTATTATTATTATTACAATTATTATAATTATTATGGCTGCAAAAAATATTAACAGTTAAGTTACGGGTTCATAAAGTATGTGTGCTGGTGTGGGGTGAGGGTCTAGCTAAATGTGTTCAAGATCTGCAATGGTAGATGTTCACAGAGGCACTATGTACTGTTTTGCTATTTTGCTCACAAACTTTTTTTTTTAATTTTAATAAAAAGCAATAAATTTTTCAAATGACTGTTCAACTGTTTTGAAAGACTGTTGAAAATTCATAAATAAACTCTAAAATTAACATTTTATTGATTCAAAATCAAAATCACATACAACATTAAAAAATAAAAAATAAATAAACATAAAAAAATTTCTTCTGATTTCCTGATTCTGTCTCTGTTGATTTCAGGATAAGTTTATCAACTTGAATTTGCTCCCCAGAAAAACTCTGCGCTTCACTTTTTAGTTGAAAAAATTCTGTTCAAACTGAACATGTTAAAGTATTTTAATTTAATTATAATAAATAAATAGTAATCTTCCTGATATCTGGAAAATGGGTAAGTAAATATAAAAATATGTAAGTCCCATATTTAAAAATGGAAGTAAAATGCAAGCAATAAAATATCAACCAGTATCTTTGACATCCATACCTTGCAAAGTATTAGAAAAAATTATAAGTGTTAGCTTAAAAAAATATTTAGAATTAAAAAATCTTTTCTGTAATCAACAACATGGCTTCTTAAAAGGTAAAAATTGTATAACAAATTTATTAGAATCCTTAGATTTTTTATCATACCAACTAATGATAGGCAATTCAGTAGACATTTTATATACTGATTTTCAAAAAGCATTTGATATAGTGCCTCATAAGAGATTAATATCAAAATTATGTGGTTATGGTATAGAAAATAAAATGCTTAATTGGATAGAAGCATATTTATCAAATAGAAAACAATGCATTATAAATGGCAATACAAAATCAGAGGTTCTGAGCGGTGTTCCACAAGGTTCTGCACTTAGACCATTATTGTTCTTGTTATATATCAATGACTTACCCTCTAAAATTAATAATATATGCAAACTTTATTCAGATGATACCAAAATTGTTGCTGTAGTTAACAATGAGGTAGACTTGAAAAGCTTGCAGGACGATATTAATAATCTAACTGAATGGTCTGACAAATGGATGATAAATTTTAACATCAACAAATGTAAAATCATGCATTTTGGAAAACATAAGAGTTTTGAATATTGTATAAAAGATTCATTGAATATTGTATAAAAGATTCATTCAACAACTAATGAAAAGAGTTGTGTCAATTTCAAATACTATGAAATGGAATTATCATGTAAATATGGTTGTATATTAAGCAAATTTGATTGGTCAATTAACCAAATCATTTACTTGCAAAGACAAAAACATAATAAAGATTTTGTACTGCACTTTTGTAAGACCTATTCTTGAATATGCATCACCAATATGGAACCCATATAATAAAAATGATATACATAAATTAGAAATTGTTCAACAACGAGCAACTAAATTGATTTCCGAATTAAGGCACCTACCCTATGAAGAAAGGTTAAAAAAACTCCAACTGACATCCTTAAAAACTAGGAGAATAAGATATGATTTAATTCAAAATTATAAGATTTTTCATTATTTAGACAAAGTGTTTTGGTATAAACAACTAAAAACAGTAATTTCTATTTCAGCAAATGGTCCCGCTGCAAACATTAGAGAATATAAAGCATGCATAGATAGCTATTAAAAATGAACAAATCAAAGGAAAATTTTCTGACAAACAGAGTTGCAAAATGGTGGAATAAACTAACAGAAGAAATCATTTCTGCCAATAGTGTAAAAATCTTCAAGTACAAGCTTGATAAACATGGATATTATGAAACTCTGATCTCTATGAATATTTTGAAACTGTAATTAGAATAGGCTCATGATAGATTTAACATGGCGTTGAATCTCAAGGAGCATAAATAAATAAATAAATAATAACATTTAAGTTACTTATAGAAAAAAATTAATTTAAAAAAGAAGAGAATATTTTACAAAATGAGAGGATTAATTTACAAGAAAAATAGATTTTACAAGTTTTGACATTTTTTCGTACAATAAAATTCTTCATGAGTTTTATATTTTTTGGAAAACATGTTTGACAAAGCCAGCTATTTGTACTTTCTTATGTAAGCCATTTTCATTTTCTTCATTTTTATTCTACAATATTCTGTATTTTTTGCATTTTGCTTCTTTATATGTTCTAACTTAACTTTATTATTAACATTATAATTAAGTTAGCTCTTTTTTTTTTAAATACTGTTTTTTTTTTTTTTTTTTTTTTTTTTTTTTTTTTTTTTTTTTTTTTTTTTTTGTATTGATCTTTTGGGCTCAAAAATGTTCTTTTAGAGATATAACTCATTGAACTTTTTTTCATGAGAATTAAAAAAGATATTAAAAAAAGGCACATTTATAATGTAAGTTTAAAAGAACAATTTTTTAATTGGAAAAATGTTAACATTGAGCATTGAAAATTAAATATTAAAACCTAGTGAACCAACAACATGTAAGAGAATTGGGTTTTCTCACCAGGCCTTGTAATAGTCAGTGAATTGTCAGACCCATGAAACTTTTAGTAGTTTAAATATCAGCTGTTGTACAGGCAGCATCCTCTATGTTTAACTCAACATGTAATTGAGACATTACTTGATCATCATTTATTTTGTCAAATTAGGTTTTTCATGATATTTAGCTTTTAATGAAAAGTCAATACAAGTGCTACAAAGAAACAATATCACATAAAGTTGCTAGTTACATTTCTGGCTCATGACAGATAGTTGGCACAAATAACACATAAAGCAATAAATTTATTGTCTTTTTCTTGAATTATTTTTAAGTCAACAATTAAAGTCTTTATTTATTTCATATTTACTTAGAAACAACTCTTTTTACTACTATAAATGGATTTTATAAATAATGGTGTGCATATCTAAAAAAAATTTTTGAAATACAATTCACTTCTAACAAGGTTGTAAGCAACCACTATTAAGTTGGGAAATACTAGAAAACTAGGAATTAAGTTAAAGACCCGAGAAACAGTTGCAAAAGACCTAAAAAGTTGAAGGTTGTATAAGTCAGGAAAATATGTAAACAGAATTAGAATGTAGGGAAAAAAACTAGATTTGTAAAAGTTTTATAGACCGTGAAGGGACAGATACAGTAAAAGGACTTTAAATATACAGTAAATGCGACTTTGGTGAATAACTAGTCAAGTGAGAATGAGTTTTGGTTGATGGAACTTGAGATCTTAGCTCCGTTGAGCAACAACCATGATAGTATTTGTAAAGAGAAAGAGATGCAACCTTACAATAACTAAAGAGAGGCTCGAGCGAGGCAAATAAAGCAGGTCATAGTTTGTTTTTAAAGGTTTGTAGAAGTAGAGAATGGAATCAAGAATAATATGATGAGCATGATAAAAAGAAGCAACCTTAGCCGATAACTTTGCAATTGATTGTATATATGATTTCCATAAAAGGTCAGTGTGAATGATAATCTAAGAAAATGTAAACAACCTTTTTCCATAACATCATATGAAGTTTATGGAGAAGCATGCCAAACCTTGTTGAAAGCTTTAGATATGTCAAGAGCAATAGCTCTATCCCTAGCCATCTCTATCTGATACACAATAAAATCTATCCCTAGCCATCTCTATCTGATACACAATAAAATCTTTCAAAGAGCTGTCGAGCAAGAGGATTAAAAACTGTAATGATTGTCTGACAGTGAGTTATTTGACTCAAGATGGCAAGTTAAAAATTATTTATCAAAGACTCAAAGACTTCAAAACTAATTAAAGATAGAAGACTGATCAGACGATAGTTGAAGGGATCAAAATGATCTCCAGAATTTTAGAAATTGAAATCATAAACCCATTTTCCAGCAGGTATGAAAAAAAAAAAGATTTAGTCAAGCACTTATTAAATACTCTGGAGAGTTTTAAAAGGAGTTCTGGACAACACTTTTGTAAGACTATGATAGGAATATTGTCCAGATCACAAACCATAGAAGAGTTTAACTGAGATATAACTTTAGTAACAAATGATTGAGTGATTTGAATGTCTAGCAATTGGTTAACCTGTTTAATTGAAATGGAAGGAAGAGTATGGCCATAAGATTAAAGAGTCGAATCAGAAGAAAAGGTTCAAATAGTTCTTCTTTATGCTTAGCAAATAGTTCTTCTTTATGCTTAGCAAGTAGTTCTTCTGTATGCTTGGGAGAGGTAATAAAATCATTCCCATATATGAGAGATAAAAACTTAGAATTATCTTTGTTAATGACTCTGTTAAAGTCTCTTGAGCCTAATTTTTGGGATAAGATATGAGATTTAGTGAACTGAGAATAATGAATCTTAGGATTGGTTAGCGCCTTTTTACATCAATATCTTGCTGTAATAAATTGGTGTATGCTCTCAAGTTCATGTTCTTGAGAGTTGTTCTTTTGAAAAATGATTACAATTAGATATAGCAGCTGCACATGAAAGTAAAAAGAATGGAGTAGAATGAAGCTTGACTTTGAAACAATAAGAAGAAATAGAAGCTTCCATTTCTGCCTGAATCCAGGAGGTTATCTAGGAGGCACGTTTATCAAGGAATAGTGAAAAAAACATCAGCCTATGGACCATCACCAAAGAAAATTAAAAAAAAAAAAGGGTGTGTCTGAAGAAGAAGTATAAGATG